AAATACAATTAACTATTATTTATCACTACAAAAAAGTATTAATGCAATTAACTATATTAATTCTATAATTTAAAAAAAAAATTAACTTTTTTATTAAAAAGAAAAAATTGAAAAATTTGTTTCAATTTGTGAAAAAAAAAAACCAAATGATTCAAGAATAACAAGCTACATATATATGCATATACATATACATCTACACCTTGCAGCATCCAGGTTATGCCACATAAAAACGTAAACATCTCTTAATGCTCATTGTCATTAACATTAACATAAGCATTATGAGTCGCTCGCAGCAACAGCTGTTCGTTAACATTATCAAGCGCTAAGCGGGAACTGTTTACCATATGCCGCAAGCGAGAGCCGTGAATTTGTTAATACCCAATCGGGGCAGAGACAAAGGCAAAGGCAATGGCAAGGGAAAATATTAATTTTCATAAGCAGCCGGTCGAAGGGGTTGGCTGTCCAGTGGAGCAAGTGGAGCCACTGGGAAAAGGAAACCCCAATGAAGAGTGCTTGAGAGAAGCCAAACTGATTAGCATTGATTTGAACTTAATGAGCACTCAATTTGTGCCTAGCTTGTTGTTGTTTTTCCTTTTACAATTTCCATTTTCTTTAACAATTTTCTTCTTCGTTTTTTCCATTTTTTTTGCTGTTACTTTGTTATTTTTAAATGCTGCGCCTTTAGGTATGCCACGTGTTTTATTGGCCTTGCGAGAATGGGCTTGAAATGGGTTTGGGGTCTGCAGAGGGCTGCGGGGGTTTGGGGCCCCTCAAGTGGCGCCTGTTGAGCAAATTAATTAAAATACTAAGGCATTTGGCTAGCTGACCACGCCCCGCTCCCCCTGCACGCCCCACGCATCCGTACCTCCTAGCATCGCGCAACAACAAAAGGCAAATTCTATTTCAATTAGTGGCAAAAATTGCAAAAACGCTGCGCAAACAAAAGACTTTTGCCTAACAACCAGCGACAACAGCAACAACAACAACAACAACAACAAACGCAAACAAAGGCCAAGCCGAGAATCTGGAGTGGTGCACGGGTGGTGCGCGGCCTCTACTCTAAAAAAAAGAATACCAACAGCAGCAGCGGCGAATGCGCTTTAGTTGGGCGTGCCTGACTGGAAAATAGCCTCAGCCGAATACCTCGAGCGACCTGTGGACAAACATTCACTCCTAATCAACTTTTTTCCTTAGGTAAAGTGGGATCATGTTATGCGATGAAAGCTAGAATAGCAAGAGATGCAGCGCGTAAGTTGTGAAGGAAACAAATAGAAAAGTTATCGATCAGAGTTAGTTGTGAAGGAAAAATATGGAAGAAAATATCGATCAGCGCGAATATATGAAACGTTGGTGTCTAAATATTATTATTGTACTTTTATCATTGTACATATATGTACGAGGTATAACTGTTTTATGCCTCTAATTATACAATCAATTAACAATTCATATGATATCGCAACTTATCGATATTTAAGGTTAATACAAAAGTTACTGATCTGAGTACAGAATTTGCTCAGATCTACATTATTTACCTAATGAACTATAATTCTGGGTATACTCAAACTCAGATGCGGTGAAAATTCAGTACGGTTGTTATCGATATTTATCGATCTAATTAAAATTACATAGAAGTTGAACTCCATAAAGCTAAGGCGAAATTTAAGAACTTTTTATAGAGCTCAAAATACAGACCATTGCAATGCATTATTAATCTTATTCCATAGCTATGCCTCAGGTCTTTGATGCTACCTTCCCTTACCCGTTACATGCTTTCACACATAATCAATATGCCCGAACTCATTCATTTGCAATGGCTTTAGGGTATTAAAAACGCGCTCAGACTCTGTGCATGTCTGTGTGTGCATGTCTGTGTGTGAGTGTGCGTGTGGGTTTGTTTGTGTGTGTGCACTCACCTGGAACCGATGACTTTCTTTGAAGCCACCTCCGCTGTGGTCGAGCTGGCCGTGCTGACGGGTCGCGTCTCCTGCTTTGGCATAGACGCCTCGTATACAATGGCCGGCTGCATGGCTGGAGCATCATTCCTGTGGCTGGACGTGCTCGATGTGGTCAGATAAGTGTAGATTGGCTGCTGTTGTGTGTTGGCGTTGTTGTTGGCATTGTTGTTGTTGTTGTTGCTGTTGTTGTTATAGGCAGCAGCCAGAGCTGCGCCTAATGCCAGGCAAAACAGCCCGAGCAGCTGTAAACGCATCGTATTCAATTCCTAGTTATAGCTCTAGGTACAGCTATCAGATGTCACTCTCTCTCGGATTTTCTCTCCCTCTATCTACCGCTCTTTCGCTTCGTCTGTGTTGATTTTGCTGTTGGGCTCTTTAAGGCTTTTAATTTTTTGTGTGATTCTTTCGGCTGTCGACAAATTCAGCTGAAAGTAGAAAAAACGTAGAGAAATTAATGCAAAGTTAATGAAAATTCAAGCGAACAGCAAAATGTATTCATTTAAATATATATGTATAACTGTATCTATGCTGGAAATTTACATAAAGTTGTTGGCGGCGTGGTGGGGCTGGGTGCGGTGTTGGTGGCTGGCTTTTAGGCTGTCATAATCAGGTAGCACAGCCAATTGGCCAGGCGGAAGGCCCAGAGCTCAAAGCCCAAAGCCGCAGCACGCTAATGCGCCTGTAATTATGCTAATAATAACGAGCAACCACATGAGTGTGTGTCTGTATATGTGTGTGTGTGTGTTAGTGTGTGTGTGTGTGTGTGCGTGTGTTGCACAGCTTAAAATGCCTTTAGAGGCAGCTGCAGCAACGTCTTGGCAGCTAAGCACGCTTTCAGCTACTACCTCAACTTCCAACACTCAACTCCTCCATCTATCTCTCCCCCTCTCTCTCTCTCTCTATCTATACCTCTCTCTTCCGTTGTTCTATCTCAACTAAAGTGCATGGCAATTTAGTCATAAGATGCTGGCACATATGCATATGCGCATCCAACTATTTGCAACTTGATGCAGCAGCTGTTGCACCTGAGCTGCTGTTGCCACCCTTTAAGCTGCTCTTTAATCATCCAAACATATTAGATAGACAGACAGGCAGACAGACAGACTGGCAAGCAGGCAGACAGATAGATAGATAGACAGGCTGGCGGTGTAGCAGGCTTGTTATTTTATTATATGTGAGATTCTGGTAGCTTTTGTGTATTTAGCTTAGCTCAACTGTCAGAGCATATCATTAGCACAAATCTCCCAACTGACAGCAAAGTTTTTCACATGCAAAAACATAAATACCTTGTTGGCAAAAAGTATTTGTTGATGCCCTCTGGAAATATAAAAAAAAACGGGGATATTCAATCTACATAAATAAGAAAAGGATATGAATTGAATGTTGAGTCATTCTAATCAGAATTCGACTATTTAAAATGCCAATTTTTAGTTGATAATGTCAAATTTTCAATTTATCGATAATATTCGATACATATCGTTCACCAAATGAGCTCAAATATATTTTTTTCGTGCCTTCGGATCAAATGAGTTTTTTTTTTTTTTGTTCTCACTTTCAATTAAATTGGAATGTGGGATGATAAATCCTGTTATCGATAACTTATCGTTAGTGTAAATTTAGTAACATATTTTCAGGCTTTCGAAATAAAATGGGGTTTTTGTAATTCTTAGTTGCAGTTAAATAGAAATGTGGGATGATAAATCATGTTATCGATAAAAAATCGTTAATTTATTTGTGGCTGCTACATGCTCAACATATATTTTATTTAATTTTTTATTTTTGAACATTAACTTTATTTATTATTATTTATTGGGTAAAAACCCTCTGTATAAGTTAGAAATGTTATCGATTATTTTCGATAAATATTACAAGCTAAAAAAAGAAAAGGTACAAGACTTCTTATTGGCTTGCTAGCTATATACATATGTAAATCAAATTCAAATCTAAGTTTGAAGAAACGATTATTATCGGTAAATATATGTATATAAAAAATCGATCGATAAGTATATAGCTATAGAAAATGTATTAGACTTGTTTTAATAATCTGTTTTAAATAACTTAAAGTTGTGTATGAGTTTTCTTCTTGTCTTAAATAATCGATAACACAACCTGGCCTACCTCTAGTGGCAGACAACCCTTTTTTGGGCTACAGGCGCAACGCATAGTCGTGTTTGTGCAAATGTTGTTTTTGCTAGAGCGAAAGTTTTTGGGGCTTTGTTTTTAGAGTTTTTGCCGCTAAGCTTTAGCATGTGTGGTGATAACAAAATGAATTGTCAATGGCGCGACAGGCGCAAAACAACAATATGTTAATAAGCGCCAAAATGCTACGACAACAACAGCAACAACAACAGCAACAACAACAACAACAGCAGCAGCAACAGCGACAATAACAGCAGCAACAATGGCAATAATATGGCTAAAGAACGCGCTGACAACTTAAAGCCTTCGCTGTCAAAATGTTCACAGAAAGCCAGGACAAACACATGTGCGTGAATGTCTCTGTGTGTGTGTGTGTGTGTGTGTAATGAAACCGAAAACTTTTGCTAAAGCACGTACGCTCGTATATGTATTTATATATGTACAAACATATATATAGATGGCATACTATAAGCAGCCAAACAATTTCTGTTCAATGCGAAAAAAATCGCGCATAAATATCGAGCAAGGCTATAAAAATATGTTGCTCAGTCTCTCTCCCTCTTTGTGTGTGTGGCTAAACTGTGGGCAAATTAACATAAATTGTGCATAAAATATTGGAACATCCCATTTTAGTATTGTTGGACGAACGATTCAACACTTTGGGCAGCTGGTCGATGAGGTTGCTTTTACTTAAGGCTATCAACGCATTGGCACGCGCTGACACAGTGAAGGGGGGAGGGGTGGTGGGTGGAGGCCATGTCTATTGTGAGCTAGGCTGGACCATAGTTTGACAATTGATTTGTAACGGTAAATTACGTGAAATGTCAGCCAACGGCTGGTTAACAGCTCGCAGCGAGAGACTATAGAAGGCGAAACTGACATTGAAAATGTAAATGAAATGCAAAAGCCGAAAAATAGCTCAGAGTAGAGAGAGGGAGAGGGAGAGGGAGAGAGAGAGAGTGGGAGAGCGGGGTGGGCAGCAGACTAAAGACTGAAATCTGTCTGTCCTTTCCTTTCCGACTGTCCAACTGCTTGGCATTGTCTGCATGACAATGACGCTGAGTGACATGACAAGTGGACGACAGAGAGAGAGAGACAGAAAGAGAGAGAGAGAGAGGGAGAGAGAGCGAGGGACACAGAGAGCACCTCAACAGTAGCAAAACCAGAGCAAACACTAGAAGAAAGTGCGGTTCAGGTTTGGGTTAAGGGCACAAACGAGCACAAGATTGAACCTGACAGCTGTAGAGACAAGGCCCTCACACGCACACGCACACACACACACATACGTTTGTTTAAACAAATCAGCCAGACATTTACATTTCATATACCCTACACACACACACACACACACACACACACTGGCACCGCAAATACTGTTGGCCATACAATAAATCAAATGAGAAAACTGACAAAAGGAAAAAAGGTGCATTTAGATGAAATGACATTTTTGGCCAATGTGGCTGACAGTTTTTGTTCGGCACTCGAGGAAATGTTTAATCGTGCGAGGGTCCATTCTACAGTTGATTACATACACAGCAATGCCGTCCATTTTAATGAAACCTTGAATAATATAGACATTGATTTCCAACTGAAATTGAGCTGGCATTTAATGTGTTAGGGTGTGAAATGGGAACAAGTAGAGTCTATAGTCCATCAGAGAACAATTTGAATAACGGATGAATATAAAGGAATGAATATAAAGGATTAATAATAGAGGCTCGTAAGGTTATGTGGAGTCAAGCGAAGGTGATTCACAGTTAATTGTTGAGTTGAGTTAGATACTATTAATTTCCTCTATAGACTGTTTAGATATATGAGGGAGTATAGCACAATATGAAGCTCAAACATCAGCTTTAACTCTCTTCTAAGTGCTAACTGTAAATGTCCTTATAGCTATGCCTAATCTTTTCAAGTAATCCAACTATTTTCTTCCAGCTAAACTCAGGATTCTAGAATTCAACTAGTAAAATGGAGATTTGCGTATCTCCATAAAAATTTTAAGTTAGAGAATCCCACTTAAGAAAAACTGTTCAGAAGATAATAAAAATCCGATTTACAGATAAAGCAAATCTCAGATAATATATAGGAAATCCACTAGCCTATACGAGAGCTGTTTGATGAGTGACAGCTTGAGCATAAGAAATTTCCACTTACACGTTTTTGGGCATTATTGAATTGATCCACTCCTAACCCATTCCCATTCCCACAGTAAAAAACTCAAGTCCCTTCCCAGCCTCTCTCTATCAACTGACAATCGACAACTTTTTCACTCGGCCATCAATTGTCATGCACAAAAGTCAGCTACTAATTAGCTTAAAGGAGTAGCTTGTCCATAAAATTAACATGCTAACAACTAACATATTGGCTGCTTAAGGCACTTTCTGGCCAAGTGTACACTTGAGTTAACTGTAAACGAAGACAAAGGACAAGGAAGCAACATAAAATGGAGGCGAAACCATGTTCATGTGGCAAATACACAAAGAAAATTGGTTGTTGGGGCTAACCCAAAAGGCCAAAAACAAAAAGGCCAAAAAAAAAAAAAACAGGCAACAAACAATTGACCTACAATAACAACAACCATACACACACATACAAACACAGCCTTGAGTGTGTGTAAAGTTTTGAAACAGTTTTGGGAAATGCGTTGACCAGCGAAAATTTGTCACGTTTCTCTGTTGTGGAAAATTAAGATTTTTAGCCCCAACTTTTCGTTGCTCTTTGGGAAACTTCATTGCGGATTTTCACATCTTTTGGCTTGTTGGTCCTTGGATTCTGCTTCTTTTTTTTTTTTTTTTGGCGGGATTTTTATTGGATTTCGGTTGAGATTCGTGTAGTCAATCAGTTGTTTCGCAAAGCAAATTAGATTCGACTTTTTATTTTAGCTCAAATTGATGTTGATTTCTGTGTGCTTCAGCCGTTTCTAGCTCTTTTGGCTTTAAAACTGACTGCAAATCTCAGACGCTACAAAATACACTCGTAATTCACACATTGGCAGCCAGTCGAGTCTGTAAGAGCTCCCCCGCGCTCGCACGCGGACCAATTGAGTCTCAGTAACACATAAGGGATTCGTTTCTTCTCTTTTGCTTCTTCTTCTTCATCTACTTCTTCTTATTCCTTTGCTTACCCCCTTTGCGTATACCCTGTGTTCATGTTGCTGGGGTATGCTCAGTAAATAAAAAGATCTTAGCAAATATTTAACTATAATTTAAAAAATTAAATAAATAAAATTGAATATTCTTTAAAACATTGACATACATTGTATTTATAAATAAATCAAAATATTACTCTAATTCATTTAACTGATTTATAAAAATTTTGGTTTGTTTATTTTAATAAAATAATATTTGTTATTATTATTATTGAATTTTATTTCATTCTGTTTTTATTTTATTTTAAAATTGATTATCTTTAAAACATTATTTATTAAAAATATTCTT